TTGCCGTAGTACATGTCTCGCATGCTTTTGTCGTTACTAAATGTTGATTGAAGACTGTCACTGACGCTTGGGTCCATTGAGAAGTTAGACGGCGCCCAACTTGCGTACAAGCTACAGATGTAAACCAAGTTTCTCGATTCCCCAGACAATGAGTCGGGTATCATTCCATTCAGGTACACAACAGTTGAGTTTTCTTTGTCCAGAAAGAATGTGCTTGAGGCTGAGATATTGTCGAGACTCGAATTGTTCAGCCAGTCTGCTTCGTTAAATTCCCTAGGTTTTCTTTGGGATTGAAGACAATCGGCATCATCGAAGCAGTTGATAGATTTCGTTGGAAAGCTGATAGATCCCGGAGTATCTGCTAAGTAACCTTTATCGTGTATTGTACACCTGGACTGTACAAATGGTTGGTAGAACCCCGATCCCTCTCCGGTCGGTGACTTGACATTGGCGCCTCCTTTGGCTGTAATTCGGTAGCGAGGTTCGCGGGATAGGGCACCAACATCGGAGCTGTGGATGAATTGTTGAAAGAGACCGATGCTGGTCATGAGGAAGTGCGATGGCGTGGTGGTAAGCGTGGTCGAAGATGTGTTAGGCTTGTCATCGGCTTGCGTGAACACTAAATGGCGCCTAATATCTGACGACGTGGAATAAAATGTGAGATTGTTGGTCAAGTCGGTGGCTGCGTAGTCCCGTACCCAGCTCGAGATCACAGGGAACCCGCCAGCTGGACAATAATCTCGATAGACCCCCGCAGGTCCTTGGCACTCCGTGTACTCGCTGAAAGGGTCTCTGAACCATATGGCCCTCCGATTCCACCAGTACAACAAGGGCGGCTCGATTTTGCTGAACGCCGAGCTTGTATCAAACTCGTACCAACCCAAGCTGGGTAGGAGGAGGACCGCAGATGCTGGTCCAACAATTGTCGAAAGTATGGTCGCGAAGACAAGGAACCCGGGTAGTAGCATTTCCCAGGGCTTTGACCTATTGAGACCTTGGTGGCGGAACGACGAAGTTCGAAGGTAGTTGAGATCTCCAACTCGATAGCCCCCAGTGAGAAAGCCTAATCGCACACCAGTTGTGACGAGACGTCTCCGATACATCGCAAGAGCAATCGAAGACAATGATGCCACGATTAGAAGTTCGTGCAGTTTGGCTACAAACTGGAGAATATTGCTGATGATATCGGTGTCCAGTCGATAACCGCTCACAAGCGGACCTATCTCCGGATACCAGTAGAATTGTATTGAACCAATGAGTAGGACGGATGTCGTCACCAGTATAGCAGGGAGGTGAACGATCCATCCGTTAAAGTAGCGTGACCATTCAGTTCGAGTGATGGGTTTCGAGATCTTTGAACCTTCCATACCGGGTAAAGTAGACCTGGAATCCTGTTTGCCTCGGTGCTGTGCAGGTCCGAGGCCCCCTTCATATTGGTCTTGAAGATCTCCCGTGACTTTTGCATATGACCAGTCACTCGTTCGCCTGCCGCTCGAGCGCTGAGTTTCTTCGTCAACACTCTTGGTTCGACTAGATAGCAGTGGCCTGTCCCACGATGTATCTTCGTCAGTCAGTCGTGACAACGTAGAGATTGGTCGAGGGGACATCTCATAGTGGTCTAGTGGTGGACTGATTAGAAGATCAGGAGAGGGCTGGTTATCGAGTGGAACTCCTCGACTCCATGCCCTTTGCGACATGCTCTGGCGTCGATGCCGCTCAGATTCTTGTTGGGTTGGATCCATCGCATCCGAAGGAGGAAAGTACTCGGCGCCGACAAGTTTTCAAATATACGCGGTTAAGACCACCACGCCTTGGTACCGAAAACAGAGACGAGAGAGATGAGAATATCAGACAAAGAAGGTTGGATTGGGATCATGGCTGCTAGTCATAAATATGCAAGAAGTCCATAAATCATACCCAGCTGCTACCGACGGACCCGTCCATCAGAATTGAGATGACCACCCCCTCAGACCATACTAGTTGGGAGTGGATGCACTCACCCTGCAGACGCAGCCTGATGTCAAGCCACTATTTAAATATAGCCAAGACAAGTTCTGGTGCCTTCAAAGCCCCCACGATAAGAGTTAGAGTCAGGTTGTCGTCAGCTGTTTAACAAAAAGATTACAGATAAATCAGTGATGCGAAACACTGGCAAATATGAGGCTCTTGTAGCAGCTCAAACGAGTAGATGGACTCACAATAGTAACACCCTGAGGTTTTGATGGGTGATACATGAGATTGAAGTTTTCATTCTTGTGTCTACTACCAATCTCACTGCTATGGTAAAAAGTCTCCAACATGTCCCGCGTTTTGAAGGCTGTCTCCAATATTCCATAGAGGAAACGGAGGCTCAAAGCCTTGTAATACAGGCCAAGGCACGAACAGCGGTTACTCGAGATCGCCATATCAATGAAATCAATCAGGCTGTCGTATCGGCAGACAGAAAGTGTCTGCCTAATGGACAAGGGTAACATCACCAATCACACAAACGGCACTCAGCCCCAAGGCAGGGGGTGTTCTTCGGGAACAGACATGATGGCCCCCAATGTGGCTACCTCGTATGCAGTCAGCATTACCCATACATCACCATTTTGACGGAATGGATGACCAGCTCGACGGAATTCGAATGCCCGTTGGTCTCTCAGGATTGGACAACGCAAAGCACTCAAAGCTTCGATAAGGCTCGGGGAGGCGCAGTCTTTGCGGCTTAGGTATATGATGTGCACTCTAAATTGGCTACCATAGTCCGAGACTTCTCTCTTCGCCATCGTGTCAGCTTGGGCGACCACGCGGTAGTTTGTGAGAGAAGACTTTGTAGTAAACCGCTTCGGGCTCGATCGAGTGACCATCACTCTGATAAGAAGGCATGTATAGATTGGTTCAAATAGAGACACTGAAGGCCTTCAGTCCTGTTTCGATTCGCCCGAGTATAGCATAAGTAAAGAGCTGCATCGCGCTGATACTCTCTTACCTTTGCTTCATAGTGAATGCATGGCTCTCAGTACCTTAGGTAGACGGTTCAATTTTTCGACCAGAATTCATTCACCTGGGATCTGTCGCAAAAATGACAGTGCACCCTCAATCACGGCCGGTCATAATAAAGTAATGTACACCATTGTGACGAAAATTGAGCCTGGTCTTGATTTAACATTTTGCCTTCAGTAGAATTGGAGATTAATATATCGAAGAGACGTTCGATGAAAATATGACGTTCATGCCAAATGAGCACCTCTTTCCCATGACCTTGAACGACGGAATTGAACATTCAAACTTTCGCTTACTGCCGGTCCGAAACTCTCGCATCAACTCACACGCCGCAGGTTGCTCAGCGTGCCCTGTGCCTTCACCTTCCGCGTGGCAGTTGTGCCGCGGTCCAGCAGATCCTGGATAGAGTTCATGACTTGCAGGCGCTTCATAAGCCGGATTGGATCAGCATGCCAAGCCTTTTGGCGGCACTTGCTCCCCAATAACAAGATCTGTATTGAATGGTGGATAATGGATTCCAACGTGGGAAACTGGGATGAGGTTGTTTGGTGCAGCATTGAATGCGACGCATGCACACCAAGTTGTTTTTTTCCAGGTTTCATGAAGATTGATAGGATATGTGCCGCCATATATCAGTGGCCGCAATGGAAACTCCGCTAAATTTCTCTGCCGTGTCGTGCCAAGCCGCCAGAACCACAAGTACCGGAATGCCGTGGATGTTAAGAGCCGCGCGAAAGTTTCACAAAGAAAGGAAGAGGATTTCAGGTGGTGTCTAAGAGCATATCTATTCATGCGTCCAAAGACGGGTATATACACTGACGATGCTCTGTTTAACGGGTTGCCTCCAGCCGAAGCCCATCCCCTCGATCAAAGTGCCGAGGGACGATCGTCGAGGCTAACTGATGTACAGTGAATAAGAAACAAAACTGTCCGAACAACCATGCAAGTGCAGGTCATTGACGGACCATGAAGCATTCTCTCCAGAATGCTCGACTTCCCCTTGATCAACATGACAGGCCTGCCGTCTGCCTTTGCAGTGATGTTTATATTGGAGTCTTTCATACCATGATTTCCACACAGCATGGAACCATTTAGTCAACGAGGAAGAGGTCGCGAGCGTGGTTGCGGCGCTTCTTGGAGCTGTACAGAGCAGGTCCAGGGATGGGGTAGCTGGTAGCACCGCTGTAGATGTCAAAGAGAACACCCTTGTCGTTGGCAGTGTACAGGCTGGTGCCAGCAGTGCCGGAGGGGTTGGCGGAACCGCTGCCAGTGATCTTGAGGTTGATGCACTGGGGGTAGAACTGGGCGCCGTTGGCCTGGCCAGCGCTGTGGAGGGCAATGATCTCGTGGCGGAGAACGTAGTTGCCGGGAGCAATGTCGCTGGGGATGGCGATGTCCCACTTGAGGCCGTTGCTGATGAGCTCGTCGGCGGCCCAGCTGCTGCCGGTCAGACCCTTCTCGGCGATCTTGAAGAACTTGAGATCGGCCTTGGTGGCGCTGGAGCAGTCGCCGGAGCACTTGGCGAGATAGTCGATGAGAGGACCCTTATGAGACTCGGGCCAGGTGTTCCACTTGACGGTGACTGTCTCTCCGGCGGCGACCGTGACGCTGGTCTTTCCGGGAGTGGCGGACTTGTGGCAGATGATGTCGGCCTGGCCAGCAGCGTCGGGGGCAACGAAGCCGAGATCCTGCTGCTGAGCAGCCCAGCCGGGGACATCAGGGGCGGGGTTTTGGTAGGGGGCAGTGGTCGGGTTGTAGTTGTCGGTGGTCTTGCCGCCGGCGGTGATGGTCTCAACGTAGCCGTGGGCAGAGACGGCGGTGGCGCCGACCAGAGCAGTGAGGAAAGCCTTGGTGTACATCTTGAATGGTTGTTGGGGTTTGTTTGTAAAAAACAGGTGGATCAAGTGGTGAAAGAACGGATGAACAGCTCACAGAGCAAAGAATGAATTGGGTCAAAGAAGGGTAGGAGCTGGAGAGCAATGCGGGTGAAGTGAAGGACGAAGTGGAAAGCTTGGTTAAGGGAAAGGAGAGATAGAAGCTGGATTCGAGGCGTTTCTTATACTCATGTCCAACACCTTCCTGCCCAGACAAAAGTTCAGATGCTGAGCATCCCACATCGTGGAGCAGTGGCCCGACGTCCCGTCAAGGGGAACGAGGGTGTGGACAAACAAGTCCGTAGTTCCATGTCACTCGATGAAAGCCCGTGTTCAGCATAATCCCAGTAAACATACCAAATCAGATCCCAAACAGGTGGCAGAGGTCTCAGAAGATGTCTAAAGTCTTGGTATTCCCTTATGAGAGCTTCGCTTCTGAGTTCTAGCTCTCAGCTTGTACCGCAAATCGTCGACATCACTATCGCGAAGCTCAGCGAGAGGCGGAAGGCTTCTTTGTCACTCGACAGACGCCCAAGCCCCTTACTGCCGAGCTCCAGCGTCTTCCATTTGGCTCAAACAAGTCTTTCTCCTGTAAAAGGAAAGCTGAGGTCTTGGCGATAACGAACAACGGAGAACGTCCCCCCGTACGCGTGGGCTCGGGCCACTGAGGTTGGCCGCGAAAACATTGGACGGACCACAAAGGCGGAGCGCCGGAGACTGGCCACATGGATGACAGATCAATCTATTTCGCACGGGGGCGGTGGGTAACAAAGTCTCGGCGGGATCGGCGGTCACATCGGGGACGGGGCTCGTGGTTGGATTAGTTGGCGGAACAGGAACGCGGACGACCACATTGGTGGGAGCGAGACAGCTCACGGGTCTGATTCTGAGCCTGGGCCATTCTGATAGACCTGGGCGGCAGTCGGGATCATCTACCGGGAGTCCGCATGGGCAGCCCCCCGACGCTTCAAGTTGAATGTTAGACCAACGCCTGGTGCTGGCGGCGGCCCCGACCAGCGGCAATCGAAACTTAAGGAGGCGCCGCATCTATACTTCAAAAGCTTGGCTTAATTCATTTGTTGGTGTCGCATACTGTCGTGGCACCAACGTCTCGACCGCTTGTTTACAGCTGCCGGTACTGGTTGTAGTGTTTTCAAAACGTGCACTTGACACTCTACTGTGAACTCGTCGAGTCTCACTTGATGTTCTACCGAGCCATCAAGTAGAGTTGGCGCAAAACTTGGTAATGAAGTGGGAGCAGAAATTCCAATGTGACGGAAGATCTGGGGGCGCCCAATTTGGCCGGTAGTTGCTTGCATGACGCATGAGACGGGCCCAGGGCTTAGTGATGGATACTGTTGTCTCCTCGCGGAGCACTGCTCCGTTTAGGTCTTCTGTGATGATGAATGGACAAGTCGAAGAACCTAGACAACAAAACTGGAAACCTCAATATTTTTCGCGTTCACGGCCATCCTTCCGCAGCTCGTTGCGACGGTGTGGCGTTCATGGGCCTCGTCATCATCTTTCAGACAACTCGAACCGAGTGTTGACGGGTCATGAAACACGGAAAAGACAGGCCTCTCCCTGGTAGCGAAGCCCAGCCGACCGACGGGAGAGGACAACTTTAATTAATCTTAATTCTTGGCGCTGCTCTTTATAGGTCCGAGCTCTACTTTTTCTGTCCAAGGATCCTGGGAGAAATCCACGTTGCGCAATCAATTCGGATGCAAGCGAGCAAAGAACAAAATGTCCAGCCCCAATCCAGATGAAAAGGGATGAAACAAAAGCGGCCGAAAGAAGAAAGGGAGTCTTGCAGTCTGGTGACGTGACGACAGAGTTCATTCCAACTCTTATGCTTAAAATTTTGATCATGGAGATTTATGAAGTAAAATTTGATGTTCTATCAGTGTGGTTCTTGTGGAGTTTACAGAGAGTGTTCCACTGTGGGCGCCCGCTACTGCCATCTATAAGTCGTCGATTGAAAGAGCGCTGCTCGACAATACTTGCGACAGGATGAGGCATCGTGGCTCACGGGGCTTGAAATCTGTAGCTGTGCATAGCTTGGCTGTGTTCTTACTTCGCCGACCTCCGGGTCTCCAAGGAATCCCGGTGACTCCATGGTAAGAAATTTGAATGGCACGCCAGGTGTCCATTGCTTGTGGACTCAACTGGCCGAGCCTTTCACAAGCCACAAGGCAGTTCTTCCAAGCTCCAACATGAGAATCCCATTGTGCTATTTACCGTTTACGACGAGCTCCTCCAACGAACCACTCTTCCTCGTACTAACTGAAGTAGTACTGAAAACTGACTCGGATCGCCGGGTCACCCCGTGATCCCCTTGCCCAATAACCCAAGCTTGGAATTTCTCACGATATGTACCTTAAAGCAGCCTCGCTTCACTCATCCTGGAATAGATGCGGTTGCATTTTTATTCACCAAAGCCAAGGCAATAGTACTTAGTCAACAATTGAAATCGAGCCACCACGGAGCTTCCTTGCAAAGGTCGGATTGAGGGCGAAAAGACGAGTCATTCTTAAAGTGCCAAGAAGTTGGCTCAATACCAAGTCCGGCATCCCGTTCCGTCGAGTGGTTCAAATGCTGCTTTGCGTAATAGTAGTTTCTCGATGCCAACATAAATATCACAAAAGCAGGGTCAAGAAAGTCAATGGTTGAAGCATTCGATTATCCCTCATCTCCACACGATACACCGAAGTAGGTACACATGTGGTAAAGACCGACAAGAAAGCCCTCTGTCCTGAGACAAAATCATACATCCTAGGCCAAGGAACAATCCTCAAAATTCATCAAGGAAAGCTCCCACTCTTCACTGTTGTGCTTGTCTCTCTTGAGTTCGGCATTTCGGGATCCTTCTCATCGCTAAAAGAGGCCAGGCACTTAGCAGCCAGCATAGATGGATTGGGCGAAGAGGGCTAAAGAGCAACATTAGCATTCAATCGAGATAAAGTATCAAACTTAAGTGAGAAAAGAGATTGAGACTCACTGTAAGTGTCGGCGTGGTTAAGGTTCTGAGCAGCTGTCAAGCTGCGGACGAAGTTGTATCCGTATCCGTTGTAGTCAGAGGTGCCTCGGATCTGGGTCAGATGGGTCATCTCGTGAACGATACTACTTTGGTTAGTATCACATTCTTTTCGTTAGAGACAACTAGACTCACGTAGTCTGTTGGTCTTGAGCATGGCAGGTTGAAGAGGCCGCAGACATGGTGAAGAAGGTGGGGCCTGTCATAGGTAGAATTTCGTTAGATCTTGGTGGACTGACGAGAATCCCGAGACGGGTCTGAACAGAGCAAGAGACTTACAGTTGACCATGTAGGATTGAGACGGAAGAGTGTATGCGATGACGTTGCTGGAGCAGGCGCCGTAGACATCGCTGCAGTACTGGCGAGAGACACCAGAAGTAGTGCTACCGCACTCCGAGACAATTCTGCCAAAGACGGCAGCAACGGTGTTGCGGGTAGCAGTGGTAGAGGACTTGAAGTATTCAGTCATGCGGGCAGCCGGACCAGAGGCAGCAGCTGAGGATGCGGCAACGGCAAGGGAGCGGCAGCGGGTGATGGCATTGACCTATTTCCGGCAAGTTAGTCTGGATCGGATCCGGGCCCGAAGTGGACTCCGGCACGGAGCTGGTCCGTGCATCGGTCGGAGCAAGGAGAAGCGACTTACAGTGGCAGTGCGGCGGGTGCCGGTGCAGTCAGCCTGTACGGCCGTGCGCTTCTCAATGAAGGCGGTGCGAACAGAGGCAGCCTCCTCGCCGTTGACCTCAGTCTTGATGCTGTTGCTGCTGAAGGGAACAGCGCCGGCAATCTCGGTCGAGTCGGCATCGGCATAGAGGAAGGAGCCCTGAGTGACGATCTCGACGGCGCCACCGGTGCTAAGGTCGTGGAGTTCGGCAGCATCGAACTCAACCTCAACGGTCTCGCCAGCAGCAACGATCTGGAAAGCTTCCTCAGTCAGACCAGCGGTGGCAATCTGAAGGCGGATGCCATCGAAGTCGATCTTGTTGCCTATCGTGTATCGAGTCAGCGTAGGTCCAGCCTTAGATCATAGACATAAGACTAACCGGCGGCGAAAACCTCGACCTTCTCAACGGGAGCCTTGTCAAGGAAGGTGCCGGTCTTGAACAGCTTGATGGCAGAGTCACCAGTGTTGGTGAGGGCAGCCTTGACACCAGAGTTGCCAATAGCCTCAAGCTTGACGTCAAGTGGGGACGTGTCGCGCTTGGCCATGTCAACGTTGACGGCGCTGGCCAAGGTGGCCAGCAGAGAAACGCCAATGGAGAACTTCATGATTGTTGCAAGAACCGGAAGAGCAAGAGCAGAGGCTGTCGATGAGGATCGAGTTGTGGATAGTGAGACAAAAATGACATATTAGATGAAGGTCGAGCTGCGTCTCTTTATACTTGAGTGATTTCCTCGACTTCATCTTTGGTCTCCTTCTGAGTATATCTCACACTGCTTGTCGATAAAGTTGCATCAAAGTCCCATCATGTCTGAGCTAGGCAGAAAAAGGAAGATAGAACGTCGCCCAGACTGCCTAGACGGACTTGGGACTAAAGCGTGGAAGGTGGAACGGGCAAGCCTAACCGATGCCAAGATAGCTAATATCAACCGGGACGGTAGTCAAGACTTCCTGCAACCGTCCAGTAGATAGAAAACTGACGGCATTGACCTCATCTATTGTCTACATCCAGACAGCCCTGCCGATCACAACCCCGCATTGGTCGTGCGAGGATTTCATGACACTAGTTAAGGTAGACAGCACATGGCACCAAGGAGGCATTGGTGATATTGGTGATATTGTTGCTTCTTCCTAAATCTCTGTTGCCATCGCGGATTCTTCAATGTAATCAATAAGTGCAGCGTTACCCCCATGTTTTTTTTTGGGTCGGCTATCTCGTCTTGACTTTGTTCCAGTGATACCAAAATCCGTCAGAGAGAATCACTTGAGCTAAAGAAATGATAGAAGCAACGAGGCCTCGCGATCAAACTCCGCCAACTGGGACATCATCAGCCGGGACCCCGGACGGGCTATTCCGCCCTTGGTGATTCCTTGCCGTGTCCAGTCGCAAAATCAGGGGCTCTTCGCGTTCGGTAGTCTAACCCAACTTACGAGCAGCCAATTGAATTACACCAAGACTGCAACCGAAGCTGGTGATCGTTGAGGCCCAGAATCAACGTCAAGTACCAATCTCCAATAAGATATTGCCAAACATGAGATGCCAAGGGG